TTAATCTTTGTTTTACTACTGCTAAAAATAAATTTATATCTCCAACGCCCTGATTAATCCATACTTCATTGAAACCTAAAGATTGTAACAAAATCATAACAGACTTAGCCTAGGACATTGAATTTGGTTAAGTCTAAATCCCTACACATAAGATCATATACAACTTTGACATATTTTGTACTACTTGACTGAACAACTTTTTACCAGTATTTTATTACATTAATAGCTCTCATTGTTTTAAAAGATGTCCTTCCAAGTTCACCATAGACAAAATTGATTTGTGTTTGTCTTTTAACTCCTAACAACTTCTTACAATACTTTTAATGTATATTTTCAAATAGAATGACTATCAAGTAAACCACATATTTGTGATCCATAGTTAAGAATTGGTAAAATAAGCTTATCAAATAAATCCAGTTTATGTTTAACTAACATACAAGGAAATCTTATCATCTCTTTTTCAAGTTTATACAACGCCTTCAATGCTTGTCCAGAAAGTGTTTCAAAAGTCATATTAAAAGATCCTACAGAAAAAAACAATGCCTAGATATGTAAACTTTTTAACTGTTTCAATATATTGACCTTTTTTATAAAAATTCAAATTATTTCTTAGTCTTCCCCCTTTTTTAAAAATCAAAGCCTTTGTCTTTTTTCAGTTAACACTTAAGTTCCACCTATCACAATATATTTCTAATAATCCTAATCCTTTTTGTAAGCCCTCCTCTGTTTTTGACATAGTCACTATATCATTTGTACAATAATAAAAATATCTTTAAAATACCTAAGTCAATACCTTCAAAACCACTTAACATAAAATATTTTTCTATATCATTTAAATACATAGAAAATAAAAACGGCGAAAGGGATTCGCCTTGTCTTACTCCCAAGTAACATACAAACTCTTCACTAATAGTATTATTGTATTTTACTCTTGATCTTACATTCTCATACATGGACCTAATAATATCTAACATTTTACCTCTCACTCCAAATTTAATTAATTTATACCTAATAACATCTCTTACCAAATAATCAAAAGCTTTAAAGAAATCTACAAAAACAGCATACAACTTTTTATTATTATCTAATAAATGTGTTATTATACCATGTAATATAAAAACAATATCAATAGTGCTCATGTTTTTTTTCTGAAAACAGCTTGGGATTCTATATACACATTGTATTTTTCAGCCCATATATTTAAACGTTCATTTATCACTTTTGTAAAAAGTTTCCCAAAGATGCTGAGAAGAGTAATACCCCTATAGTTATAGGGGTTATCTATATCCCCTTTTTATGAATAGGTACTATAAAAACGTTATGTCCAACTTGATGGGAAGTAACCTATATCAAACATTTTATTACACAAAGAAACTATAACTTGTAAAAAGTGATCAAAATGAGATCAAAACTTATAAAAACTCATTTATTAAATAACCGACCTAGCTTATTTACCAGCATTTAACTGTTTGCAAGCATTAAAAATTCCAATACCAGTGAAAGGAATATTAAGTTCAGAGAAAATGACATTTTATTTTTCATTTAAGTGTCTATCATTAAAGTATAAGACATCTTCATCAGCTTGATAAAATACAGACTCAGGATCATTTACAGATTTAAATATCTTTGAAAATCATCTGTGGTTAGCTTACATTTATCATTTTCAGAAACAGTGCCTTTTAACATTTTCCAATATAACCTAGCATTACCAAGCCTAGCATTTTCTAATCTGTGTGTTGTTCCTTATTATAAATATATAATTATAAATTTTGACCAGAAATAAAAAAGTTATAAGTTATATTCGAATTATATAACTATAAAAGTCATGTCCGTGGCGTACAGAATATACCAAATATGACTTATATTTTATAAATTGATTACTTTTTTATTAACTTTTCTTGATACGATGTTATATAATAATTATATGTTTTTACATGCAAAATATCGTTAAATTTGGTCCATAAATAAAAAAGTTATAAGTTTAATTTGTTGTTTTTATATATATATATATTGGCAGTATATATATATACATATAAAACTGGATGTTAAGTACTTGAATTTAGGACTTTAACATTACGCCAACTCACAAGTGACAATTATTTTGGTGTTCACATCTGGAAATAAATACCAAATTTTCACTGTTTTAAGTGAAAGAGATAATATTATTCGATAACTTTATTCATATTTCATATTATATTATCAATGAACCTTTGAGCGTTATATGTATTATATAATTCAATGTATATTCACTGTATCATACTTATATATTTCAAATTACAACTTAAAAAATACTGCAAAGAGCTGAATTATAAAATATTTTGAAATTTAAATTTTTAACAAATTTGAAAAACTCTATCAATTTAATTATAACATAACATTTTGTCAATTTTGTCCTGGTGGGGAGTGTCGCTAATCGCGAAAGAAATGATTTACAGGGCATTGTCCTAACATTTATTAGTTTTATTATCAAGCTTTAGATGTTTACATTTTGTTAATATTCAGAAAAATAGTTATTTTTACCAGGATATTTCATTGGCTAATTTTGGAAATCTCATACCATTTTTGGAGGTAGCTTTTGGGTTTTTGCTCACGGCTCTAAAGATAATTGCTTTGGGCGTTGCCTTGAGTTTTTAGAGTGAAAAAGAAACTTTTGTAGAAGTAACATCGAAAAATTAATAAGAATAAAAGAGAAAAAAAATAATGTTAAAATAATTTAAAAATACAGAACTGTTAAAAACTGTTTAAAAGATAGAAAAATAAAACAATGTGAAAAGGTGAACTGTGTTAATTCTAATATGGCGGAAAAAATATATCACGGGTCGCTCATCTAAAAGGCTAAGCTTTTGACAATACCTAACCTAGAGTTACGGGCCATGATAGTTGACAATTACTTTACCCTTAACCCATGTCTATATTTTAAATCGAATTCCTGTGGTGGTTACGAGGACCATAATTTAGTTAAAATCCATCCTCAATAATTGACGAATGCGTGAATAGGAAATAGGTTTAGTGGTTGAGGATGGAAAGCTTGTTTTTTAAAATCTAAATAAGAATTTCTATCTTCACAAAAGGCAATAACTATGGTCTAATTCCATCCATTTCAGAGTTCCGATCCTTTGCTAATGACATATTATTTTGACCTTCAAGACATGTGCTCAAGTTAGCCAGATAGATTGCTTCCTCACATGAAATAACCTAAGGTCCCTTGTGGGATATTAATCCACAGTGATAAGGCGGTAAGGGGCCGGATACTATAATCGCTCGGCCACGGAGGACGCTTCTTTTTTAAGGCCCTCCGCCATTTCATGAGTTGGTATGGAACAATAACTTGGGTGATATGGCTATTTTAGATTTAAGATTAATTGCTGACATTTTTTTTGTTCATAATTATATTTTTGATTCAAAATGACCCAAAACTAATTAAGCATTTAAACATTTTTTAACTCGTATTTTGCTATGAATCGAGCAAAGTTCGATTTTCATTTTTTTTCGGAGCTTACTTTTTTATTATCCTTTTTTATCGTTCTAGTGAGTTCACGTGATTACGTCAAATTTTATTTTCGATGAAACACACATAAAACCGCTAAAACTTCGAAGGTTTGGCAACATCGTGAAGTTTGTACGTTCACCATCTAATTTGCTGATTGTTTACATTTAATATATGAGGAAAAGGACTCGCCCGCCATATCAGCCTCATTAAAGTGTATTGATATCAAATAACAGTGTTCTTCAATTTTATTTCTCCGAGAGATTTTATTTGACGTGAATGTATTTGATGTAATACTTTGAAAGTATTTTTGAAATACAGTATTCAGGCTGATGTCTTCACCTTAGTGATGTAATATTCTTATGATATAATGTGTTAAAAGTCATCCTTTAGTTTATGCATTTTTTTATAAATCAATTTTTCGCATTGATGAAATAAATGAAACTCGAAATAGCACTTTATATCAGAGTTACTTGGGTAAATTTATAAGAACACAATTTTAAGTACATGTATATTGTTTGTCACGTTTTTACAATTATAAAATATAAAACAATGAATCAGCATATCAGACAAAACGAAGACAGTTTGCTTCAAAACAGGTTGTATATTGATTTTGAGTGTTTTTATGTCAAACATAAAACGATAACATTGTTTTGCCATTCATTGCCTGATAAGTTGACTTGTTAAAGGAATGACAATAATATGCTTGAAAAGTCATTTAAAAAAGGATTTGTGATTCTATTCTTTATGTTGATCATAAATGCTATATGTACATGGATTAAGCAAAACAGTGAGTATAAAAGCATAAATTATTTTTTCTTCTTTTGTATTTAAATAGTTATTTGAATTTTTGATATGAAGCCTATTTGTAATCAAACAATTAAACATAACATTATGAAATGAAAAAACAACCAGTCATATAATTTTACTTATAACCAGATATGTGCCTTAATTTAACATTGAACTTGAATGTGTGGGCTACATCCATTATGAAGTTATTGTATATCCTTAAAATGGTAAAAGGATCAATTGTTGTTTCGGCAAAACTATTTTAAAGTACTTTTGAATTGGGCTATGAATTAGGATAACAAAAACCATTTCAATCCTCATTCGATGGGATAGGATGAACTGGCGAGTTTGGATATTATTTTATTTTTTTCAAAATTTAAAGAACGATGTATATAACTGTTCAATTACGAATTTATGGAGATAAAACATTGTAATAATCGTTATTATATCAATGCTAGCATTTTGAGACACATTTTCATTAATTTATTTTTACATCATTCACACATTATACATTATTGTTGTGTGTATTCTTTTCTCAGAGAAATATATTGCTGTAAGCTTGTAAAGTTATTAAAAAAAATTATATTACATATACCTTTATACATTCCATAATTTCTACACGTCAAATTTGTATACTATAATTTTGTCATACTTTTTTTTAATATATCTGGTTATCAGGATAGGGAATTTATTAAACAAACAAATGTAATTAATATTGCTTTATATTTATGATGTATTAAACTTTTTAATTAATAATTTGATATGTTTCAGACAGTCTGGCTGATGTTAAATACAATATAGATATGCGTCACTATAAAACAAGAGAAAATTTGTATAACGCAAGGTTTAAGAAAATAATAATAATTATAGCATACGGCAGATCTGGATCGACATTTCTAGGCTCAATACTTCAGGAAGCCATGTCAACATTCTACCTTTATGAACCTTTCCGAGCTGTTAAATACTTACATCAAAAACAGGTTGGCAAATATTCACTTTCAAGTGACAGTCCTTGGTATGTTCTTATTTTTAGTTTCTAACAAACCAGCATTTATTAAATTGATTTAATTAAAAAAGGATCAAAGAATGGATTTTTGAAATTCGTAAAACTAATATCACTATGAATAATTGTGATAAAATTAAAAATATACGATAACTTTTTTGCACAAATATCAATTTTATTGCAAAAGAAATCATGCGATAATGAAAATCTTATTTAAATCAAAAGAAAAAAGAAATAATCAAATAAGTCCCCACCAATGTATAAATTCTATTTTAGGATGCAATATTCGCAATTCGGAACAGAAGAGAAAGCTATTTATGCGTTTAATTTCTGGGTTAATTGTAGTTTAAGTTCCATATGCATACCTCAATTAAGTGATGAACAATCAACGCCAAATGTACATGGTTGTTGTGGGAAAAGGTTGTCGAGCAATAAAATTGATACTTCAAACCTGTCGTGTCTGTATGAAGAAGAAAAATACTGTCAGAATTCAACAATACAAATCTTTAAATTTATACGTATGAGGATGAAAATAGTTTTGCAACTTTTGCATTTGTTTCCAAATATAAAGGTTATTCATCTTGTAAGAGACCCTAGAGGAATATTTAATTCAATAATGACCAAAACGAAACCAACAGTGCAAATGCATTCAGTCGTGAATTTTTGTGAAAATCTGAAAACTGATCTGGCATATTCCAAATTAATTTTAAAGCAATATCCAAACAAAATATATGTTGTAAGTTATGAAGATCTTGCTATTAATCCAATAAAAACAGCTAAAGATATATTTCAGTTTGCGAATTTACGTTTTACAAACGCAATAATAAAGTCTATACTTCTCAAGACGCAATCAGATAAGGATACATGCAGATTCTGTGTTATAAGAAAGAACTCTACAGAAACATCTTTTAAATGGAGATCAACGATAGATTTAAGAACTGCGAACTTTATATACAAAGCTTGTAAATTTAGCAATCTGTTGCTTGGATACCTTCCATTAACAGATGAAAACTCCCTAAGAAACGTTTTATTGCCGTCAAGAAAACTAGGTGACGTTAAAAGAAATATTCTATCAAACAAGCAACTACATGTTTGAGGGATAATAATATTCAAAAATTCCGATTTGTTATTAAATGTGCAAGACACTAGTTGCATAATTAGTTAATATGCAGTTACAGCTGATGTTTGATTTGACAGCATTGTTCTTTTTCTATCGGATTTATTCTATGATCAGCATGGAGTGATTGCAAACACATACTTTAGGGAATTTTTCATCATTTATTCAAAAGCAAAGTAAGAAAACAATGAATAATTACATTAGAAAAAATATTTTGTTTTTTCTAATTTTTACAAAGAACAAAAATAAGAGTTCAATGAATAATTTCATTAGAAAAAAATATTATGTTTTAAGTTTATCTTGTTAAAGTAAAGGCAATAAAGTAAATTAAATGCATGTATCTAATTACATAAGAAATAACTGACCTTATATAATAAAGGGTTCTTTTAATTAACGGCACGGAAAATGAAGAGATGTAATTTTATATGAAAGAATATTAGACCAGAGGACCATTAGTCCTAGCTGTAATGTAAATCTTCATATTTTCGATAACCTTCACATACATATTTTTCAAACATATTTTCTTTTTATGTATCACAATACCATTTAAGGTTTTAACTAGGTTATTACGAAACAAACAAAAAATTATATTTTTCCGTTTGTTTTCCTTATCACTCATAGTTTCTTGGGCAATGCATTTTACTTCTTTTTCTGTTTATTTGCCTTAAGTTAAGTAGAATTAATAAGATAAACAAAGTCATCGTTATTATAGAAATGGTTCAAACGTTTACGAAACCTGAAATTGGTCTTGATCATAGACTAAGAAAAGAATTAAAGGACTCTAAATGGTTCTTAAGGACAATGTTACGTTGTGATTGTGCTTTGTAGAACACACACTTCTTATATCTGTTTGAAGATAGTAGAAAATTAAAACATATGCTTTTAAATTTTAATAAAAAAAATTATACTGCCCTGGAAGATTAAGATAAACAAAAATATTTGAAGTTAAACATCTTAAAAGTAAATAAATATTCTTAATCATTTAAATTATCAACGACTGGGTGTTGATATAGCTTTTTTATCATAATGACTAGCAAGAGATTTGTTTTGCAACTTCCCAGCTTAACTTGTGGAAGAAGTTCCCCACATACCCATCCGTGCATCATTTCAGGGCAGGGACTGTCGATGCAAGCCTCGAAATTGCGGGGGTTCGAAACCCGCTAGGGCCTTTCGCAACAGAGTTACAGCACGTTCACAACAGTTCCGTCACACTCACATTTTTAACATGACTTGTAAGTGAACGGACGGAGCCCATTATCATCGACATTCCACGTGTTTGCAACCGGAACCCTGATTTTTGGAACTCTTACTGAAAGTCCTTAACCCTGGCTTTTGTCAACTAGCGACCATATTCTTGGACTTGCTCTAGCTGTCTTAAGTCCTTTACCTGAAATTTTGTCAGGGTTTTGCCTTTCTAAAATTTAAGTTTGTTTATAAAGACTATACTGATAGTGTATTGAAATGGACTTTAAGCTAACCGAACACTAGCCGCTTACTCATCCTGACCTTGTAACCCCGAAGCTTGCCTAGGATTACTCTAGGTTATTCTGTTTAACACAAAAGTAAGTGAAGGTTGCGGTTGGGTAGCCTGATCGTTACCGAGCCTTCCCACCTAACACAGATGGTAACCCAGGTATTAACCCACCTTACCCACCCTTTTGGGAAGAAAACCACAAAGCTTACCCACCTAACCCTGAAGGTTACACACCGAAGTTTATTAAGACCGTACACATAGAGTATTGACATTTAATCACAACTAACCTAACCCTCACCCCTGACTCACCCTTTTAGTGGTATTCAGCGTGTGCAAATACCATGGGTCAACATGTGCAGTTGTTTTAAACAAAGGCATTGCTTTCTCTATCAAATGCTATAATCTTCTTTTTTTCAAAAGTGCACAAAATTTGTCTACCCAATAGCCATCTTCTTATGAAGATGTTCACCTTTGCACCAGGTTGAGGTCGGAAGACTTGGCAAGGGGCGGGACCAGTCGATTTCCTTATCAAGAAGAATCAAGAGCTCAACAAAATCACTTGCTTCGGGTAGATGCCGTTGCTCAGTCTCCTTCTCAGGAGATGAATGTGGTGGAGGGCAACCCCGGTGCTTACCCCTGCCCTTACACATCTATTTGAGAAGCAATCCTCGAAGGTTACCTGCCTAACCCCGAAGGTGACCCACCTTAGTATGTCTATCAAACTATTTAAACAATAAATTGAAATGTAATTTCAGCTAACCAAAACCCCTAATTCATCCTTACCATGTAACCTGTGAGGTTACCCAGGCTCACTCTAGTCTAATAGAAATGGAAATAAAGGTTACTGTTGGGTACCCTGATTGTTATCCAGCGTGCCACTGAACCCATATGTTAACCCCGGCGCTTACCAACCTTACCCACCATTTTGGGAAGCAAACTCTGAATGTTACCCGCCTATACCCCAAGGTTACCCACCTTAGTTTGTTTAACAAGACTATATTAATAATGTATTGAAACGAAATTTCAGGTAACCCCAACCCCGAAGTCATCCTAACCTCCTAACCTGTAAGCCTACCCAGGCTTACCCTTGCGTATTTTGGCTAATTCAAAAGGAAATGAAGGTAAACGGTCGTTACCCTGATGTTACCCAGCATACCCACTTTATCAAGATGGTAACCCTAGTGCTTGTCCCCCTTACCCCCCTTTTTTGGAATCGAGCCCTGAACCTTACAAGCCTAACCCCGAAGGTTACCCATCTTAGTAAGTTTATCAAAATTAAAATTTCAGCTAACCCTAACCTCTTTTTAATCCTTACCTGGTAACCTGTAAGCTTACCCAGGCTTACTTTAGCGTATTTTGGCTAATAGAAGTGGAAATGAAAGTTACCGCTGAATACCCTGATCGTTACACAGGTCATCCCTTAACCCATTTGGTATCACCGGTGCTTACTCCCCCTTACCCTTACTCACCTCAACCCGAAGCTTACCCACCTTAGTATGTTTATCATGACTATGAGCGCATTCGGTATACTTACCCGTGCAATCCGTGTTTGTTTACCCAGTGTAACTCGAGGTACTCGAGTAATAAATTTTGTCCGAACAGTTATTGGGTAAGTCAAGATGGCTGACAAACATCGGAAAAAGAAAATGATAATAGCATTAGCTATTAAAAAACTTCTTAATGCTTACAACACCAATGCATTATTCTTCCTCATGACACACAATGACCCAGTGATAAGTACATGTACAAGACTCTTGATGCGACGCGACAGCGTACCGCGCATAAGACGGTATGTAGAATCGGTAGTACCAAGATACAGTTTAAGCGACTTCAAAGGTCATTTTCGCCTAGAAAGAAGCTCATTTGAACTAATATGTGTAGCCATTGGTAGACATTTTAAAAGACAAAAGGGGAGCACACCATTGCCGGTGGAGAAACAACTTTTAATTTTTCTGTGGTTCATGGGTAATAATTTTCTTGTTCTGCTTGTTTGAAAAAAAAACAGTACTAAAACAAAAACATTTATTACACTTACTTAAATGTCTGTATAGCATTTTATTAAATTGTGAAATTATATTACATTCAAAGAACAAATTAATGTTTGCCCGGTATATTTAAATACATGCATGCTCTCGTTATAGGTTATTGATACTCTTCAACAGTTCTATGAGTATATATATGTATAAAGGATAAAACACTACTTTTAACTGCACAATATTTTCATTTTATTTTACTTTATCAATTTTATACCACCAGATGAAACATCGTAAATGCTTTTTTTATATTTTAATTACAAGTAAAGGAAAAGTAAGGTTTTACCGAGGTGTGATTGACGAACGAGCACTTAAACTTTAATATTTGCCTCATTTAAATGTGATCGATTATTAACGGTGTTTGCAATCGTCATCCAATAACAGTGCAATTTAAAATTTGCTATTTAACTTCATAAGTTTAGTCCTCCTAAAATATTTTGAAAATTACAAATTTTCTGAATTACAGAATTGACAGGCAACATACGGTGGCTAAATTACACCATTTTTCATGACGAGAGAGTTCAAAATGGTTATCTTCCGTTGAAAGTACAACACAGCCCCCATTTACTGCCCATTCCTTTATAGTGATATAAACTGTTTCTGCTAAAAGGACAGATGCTACAGGCATTCTGTAACACTAATCAATTTTACATACTGAAAAATGCAAGAAAAAAAGTGTGCCTCACTTGAAAATTATTTGTGGAATCCACCAGTTTCAAGCGTTATCTGGCATTCAAAAACGCGACTTAGGACCAGCCGTCCTGCATATACAGCCCCTATAAATCAGTCAACAATTGTCGATTGGTTATAAAACTATGTGTCCATTTATATATATATTTATATACCTTCTATCGCAGAATGATTTGTTTTGTGCAAATTAATTACTGTACAATGAACTGTTCACTTACTCATATGCAATACAGTGTTCAATTATTTCTAATGTACCGCTTATGGGCAACCAAAGAACAATGTCTTATGGGCATCTCCACAATACTTAAATACTGCTGTGGCATGTTGAAGAACAAACATTAATCACATCATAATTATTTATTTTCAGGAACACATGATAGTTTTCGGTCACTAGCAGACAGGTTTGGGGTATCAACATCTACCGCACACACATGCTGTGGGAATATCGCACGGAAAATAAGTTTGCATTTAGTGAAGCGATTTATAAAGTGGCCACGGAATGAAGCCCTGGACTCGGTAACTCAGGGATTTTTGGAAAAATGCAAGCTTCCGGGTGTAGTTGGTGCAATAGATGCATGTCATGTTCGAATTACAGCTCCTCAAATTAATCCAGAATCCTATTACAACCGAAAGAAATTTCATTTAGTTAATCTTCAAGCAGTAAGCGATAATCGTCTCTTGTTTCTCGATATATTTGTTGGCTGGCCTGGCAGCAGTCACGATGCACGAGTTTTCAAAAACTCGCCACTCTTTTTAGAAACTGCTGAAAATGCTATACCCTGCAACAAGTATATACTTGGAGACGCAGCATACCCACTACTACCTTGGCTGATGACACCATTTAAAGATTACGGAACTCTATCAAGAGAAAAGCAAAACTACAACAAGCAGCACAGCAGGGGCAGACAGGTTGTAGAACGTGCATTTGGCCAACTGAAAGGAAGATTTAGACGTTTGATACTGTTTTATGTACACAAAATAGAGCTGTTAGTTTACTGTATAGTAGCTGTATACGTTCTCCATAATGTCTGCATCCTTAACGACGATGAAATAAATGATTTCTGTGAAGAACCCGATATAAATGTGTATGATGGACTAAATGAAGACAGAGAAAGTGGAATCCTATTTAGAGATGACCTTGTCCGATATCTTTCGCAGTGACCATTTACCATTTTACTAGAACTATAGAGTAAATTCTTATTAATATACTTTCAACGAAAGTGTGAAATAATTAAATCAATTGGTTTATAGCAATACGCTTAATGTATATCCACCTGTCGTATTCTGATATGTATTATCTGATATTCAATATTAAAGTTCTCGTAACTCAAAATTTTAATGGTTTAATATAATTTATCTTTTGCTAACACAAACACGCACGCAAGCGCGCACACACAGAAACCCCCCTCCATCTTAATTGTATTTAAATTCCTTAATTTTCTCAACACAAAAACATTAAGGAGAGAGATGACCTTGTAGTAAAGATGTCTGCTTCTCAATTAGTTGATCGAGGATTAAAGCCCTACTGAGGTCACAACCATGTTTCTTTTGACACGGTCACACCAGTACCGGATAGTTCCAGGAAGTGGATTCAATATGTTCAAATAAGCTCCGAGCTCCCTTTACAAGCAAACTGAATATGTGGATTAATAAAAAACATACTAACACGTTTTATTACGCCTTTTTCAACTATTTCAATTATATAGGTGGGAGGTTTCCTAACCATCATTCCTGGAGAGTAACACAAGTACTACAATCAGATCTTGTACATCAAGGAATCTCTCAGGAATCGAAACCATGCCAGAGAAGTCGTCAGCGACTGTAATAACTAGACCCCTGAGTCAGTATAGATCATACATGATCAGTATCTCAACAACTTTACCAGAAATACTTCAGCAGGACTTTTACAAATCCCGCATAAAGTGTGGAGCGACAGACAGGGATGTGTTAGATTATAGATGTATTCCATTGCAGAACCTGCAATTTCGGGAGCAAGATCCTTTAGTCTTTTATACAAAGAATATTGCAAGGGTTGAAACAGAATTTATTAAGAAGTTATAGAACATTACAATAAAACATGATTGTAAAAATGAAATAATTCAGGAAGGCATTGTTATGCAATGAACAAAGCTGAAAACAATGGGACCATTGGCCCCAGGTCACTCACCTGAGTACAGAATTATAATGGTGTAAACAAAACCAGGCCAAAACGTAGATCTAAGCTCTAGACCAAATACTTTCCAACAATAAGATTTTTGAAGTTTTTCCTATATTAGTCTATGTAAAATAAATTGACTTCCCAGGCGAGGCCAATATAGACCCTTGGGCCATAATTTGTACAATATTGGTAGAGGTCCACTAGAGAATGCTACACACCAAATATCTAAGCTCTAGGTGAAATAGTTCAGACAAGATTTTTAAAGTTTTTCCTATTGGTTGCCATAACGACCAGAATTTTCAATGGAATTTAATTTTTTTAACACCTTTGAATCGGGATCACCTAAGGATCATTTCTGTAAAGTTTGTTTACAATTGGCCACGTGGTTCAGGAGGAGATGTTGTTTTAACAAATTGTTGATGACGGACGACGAACACTGAGCCATCACAATACCTCACCATGAGCACGTTGTGCTCAGGTGAGCTAAAAATATAGCAATTAAAGCAGCACGCCTTAAGATTTATTTCAATGTTCATGAAAATATAGTGTTAGTGTTTAGTAGAAATGTTTATTAAAAGTACAAATGACAAAGGCCAACTTACACAGAAATTACCTTAAATGTATCAAAAATACTTATTTAGGCCTTAATTTTGCAAATAAAGCTGAAAATTAGGGTGATATAGAACAATTTACTTTTTACTTACTACAAGTAAAGTATTAGATGCCTTGCAACAAATTCAAGACAATTTAAAGAAAAATGTCACTTGTCCTGATTACTTTTCAGCAAATAAAACCTTCCTTGAACAAAAATAAGTAAAAATAACGCTTTCTAACAAGGGATACTCAAAATGTATTTACATAGAACCTTTCCAATATCCACACAGATTTTCTAAATTACAACTCTGCATTACATTTCACCTCATCTTCAAACTGTGATAATTTACAATTATCAATACATTTCTTCAGAAGCTTGATTGCTCATATTTTGATAAAATGAAAAACAGAAGCCTTCCTGGCAAAACAATATTTAACATAAACTCTTGTAATATGTGTTATACATATATTAAGCAAATAAACAAAATTCAAACATTTACTTTTTAACCTTTCCAATATCCACACAGATTTTCTAAATTACGACTCTGCATTACATTTCACCTCATCTTCAAACTGTGATAATTTACAATTATCAATACATTTCTTCAGAAGCTTGATTGTTCATATTTTGATAAAATGAAAAACAGAAGCCTTCCTGGCAAAACAATATTTAACATAAACTCTTGTAATATGTGTTATACATATATTAAAAAAGCAAATAAACAAAATTCAAACATTTACTTTTTAACCTTTCCAATATCCACACAGATTTTCTAAATTACGACTCTGCATTACATTTCACCTCATCTTCAAACTGTGATAATTTACAATTATCAATACATTTCTTCAGAAGCTTGATTGTTCATATTTTGATAAAATGAAAAACAGAAGCCTTCCTGGCAAAACAATATTTAACATAAACTCTTGTAATATGTGTTATACATATATTAAAAAAGCAAATAAACACAATTCAAACATTTACTTTTTAACCTTTCCAATAGTTACCGTGATTTTCTATATGGGACACTAAACCTTCATTACAAACTGTAGTAGATTTACAACTTATCAATAAGTTTCTTCAATAAATTGTTTTGTTCACTGTTCATTTTTTCCATTACAGACAGCATTCTCTGGTCTCTTTCCTCCATCAATTCCTTCAACTCATTTACCATGCTTTTTCTGCGTGGACGCTTGGATTCAAAGGCTGGTGAAGAAACATCTGAACTCTCATCAGTTTCGTTGGCATCAAGATCAGTGCCTTCTACTTTATCCCCTGATCCAAATGTTCAAAGTGGTTTTACTGCCGGGTCGTCCCCAATAAGAGCATGCATCTCTTTTTCATATTTAAATGAGCACTTTCCACTTCCTGATTTCTTATTTTTATCTACATATGCTTTGTATGACCGTTTCATATATTTGTACCTGTCTATGCATTGTGTAACAGTAACATTGAAACCATGTGTTATGAGAACTTCCGCAATACCTGTCCATACTTTTGTTTTGTTTTTAGCCCCTTTCAGTTTTTCCATATTCGCAGCAGTAGTATCAAGTAGTAATTTAGTCTCAGAATCATTCCATTCATGACGTTCTACATTGCTGGTGGCTAAAACAGTAAATAAACTTCATTTGTGGGGTGTAATTAAAAAAACATAGGACAGCTGAAGAAAATACAGAAGGAACTATGTATAACTAGGAAAGCATTAAAGTTTAAGTAAACGTATACAGTTTTAAGTGAATTAATGTTTCCAGAGGTATAGGAAGCAAACGAAAACAAAACAAGAGAGATCAGTGATCCCAAGTGTCACCTGATGATAGCTTGAGGGGTGATTGGACAGTTTGTTGGATAGGTATCTTGGCTGTATGACACAACAATCATTAACGGGCAAAAACGCCTTTTCATCCATAGGCCATAATTCAGCTAAAGATAATTTCAACCAAAAAACAGTTAAATAAGTGCAGTACCTGAGGTACCAATCAATCCAGTAACATTTCATTCAAATTGTGTAAGTAGTATAAGTAAGTAGTCCAGAAAAAAATGAAAAAATCATTAAAGGGCCATAACTCTGACAAAAATCATTTAACTTAAAAATGCAGATACTATGCACAACTAGACTTGATACTTATCGTTCCTATAAAGTTGGATGAAATCACACCAGTAGTTTCTTAGAAGTAGTCCGAACAAGTTTTGTGACAGATGGACTGACAGAGAAGTGATCCCTGTACATGCTGTATGTCGCTGCTACTTTGTAGCAGGCGATAAATTAGTAAATACTGAACATAAGAAACTAAACATAAATCATTTCTTTAAGTGTAGAACTTGGCGCAAAATGATAAATTATTCGCCTAGAAATTCAGATGTCTTAAGTTATGACCCCAGACCACATAACTTTGACACTTGTCCAGTCATGAAATTGTGAAAATATTTGTTCACTTATTTAAAAGAAAAAGAGGACTATAAAAAATATACCACTAGATGCCTGCTTCGCTTCTTCCTCATCTGTAGCTAACATCACAGAAACTGAAAGATACACATTGTATGTTTTTCTGGTTGGGTTTGATGGCAAATCATCAACACAAGTGCACACGAGCAAGTTAACAGAATCTTAATTTATTTAAAACTAGTGTTTCCTTGGCTATAGTATAAGAAAGTGGTTTCTGTTCCCTCTTGATTTGGCAGAATAAAACATCCATCAAATCATCGAAAAGACAGAGCCAGGATAAAAATCACTCAGACTGGTTAATATGTTGAAAATCACATTTGAAAAGCAGTCATGCCACCAGATATAAACAGTAAAATCCTGAAGATATAATAATGATGTTAAGAAAGCATAGCTTCAGGAAACAAATTGTGTATTGCCTCTATTGAAAATAATAATGCATTTCTGGATCATTTGCCCTAAACCTAATACCTAATACAAGTACCCAAAAGTGCAGACTTTCTCTTGTGTACAGATGCTTTATTTTAACTCATCTCAATCAATTAAGTGTGTTCAGCACCCATTGGTGGCAGTAAATTGAAATTAAAATTAACTTTGATATGTTTTCCTCTGTAAAAAAACTTAACCAGTATATAATATGCATAAACGGTCATTGGAAACTTACTTTTCTTTGTAGAACTTTTCTGTGCAA